GTCATGGTGCTGGTACACTTTAGGGGGCACTGTCTCTGGGTTGTACACCTGTTTGTGGTACTTACTTACATCTGGCCTCTGTGCAACAGGAAATGGCCTGCGGTGCTAGTGACCACAGACAGCAGAGCTGCCAGCAGGTTTGCATTTGGCACAGGTGGGAACTGGGGACTTGACCTCATGCCCATCAGCTTGCAACGCAGGCTCATGTTCTCGTCCTCTGAGCCTTCAAATCGTTTTTTTTTCAGTTCTGCTGCTTGGGATCATTGAGAGTCTCGTCTTTCACATTTTGTCCCTTGCAATCAATAGGTGCTGGTGCAAAATCTGCACGGAGCACAGGCAAAGGCACCAAAGCAGACAGATGGTCCAGATGGAAGAGAAGCAAACAAGGTTGTAATTCAGGCGATTAGATGCCTGATTGGGCAGTGTGCAGGTGTGCCTGGGACTGGAACAACAATTCCCAAGGCCTCTCAAGGCCCAGAACCATAGTATCGTGAGTGGGCTCTTTGCCTTGCACGTGGCCAACCCAGGTTTGATCCCCAGTGCCCTATATGGTCCCCAGAGCACCACCAGAAGTAATCCCTGAGCATTCCAGGATGTGGCCCCCCACCAGAAAAAACAAACAAGGGGGCTGGAGCGATAGCAAAGCGGGTAGGGTGTTTGCCTTGCATGCAGCTGACCCCGGATTCGATTCCCAGCATCCCATATGGTCCCCCGAGCACCGCCAGGAGTAATTCCTGAATGCATGAGCCAGGGGTAACCCTTGTGCATCACTGGGTGTGTCCCAAAAACAAAAAAAACAGAAAGGTCTCAGATGTGACGCTGGAGCCACGAACCGAAAGGCCAGTAGCTGGTTACAGAAAAGTTTGGTTGTCGTCTTTTCTATACATGGGTTCGTGCGGGCCACTCTTGGTCAGGAATGGCGACAGTCACAGAGGCTGCAGAGAAGAGGAGAGCGGGTATGTGGACAGAGGAGAGACAGCGAGGGGTCACATCACACAGTGCTTATAGAAGGCAGAGGAAGGAGCTGGGTTGGATCACAAGGGAGTCAGTCCCCAACCATGCTTGGCCTGGCATTTCAGCACAGCACAGCGCAGGGATCACCAGGGCAGTCCCAGGTGCTCGGAGAAGAGTGCAGAAGGCCGAGGGAAGGGGACTGAAGACTCCACGACCTAACCTGTTTGCCCAGCTGGAAGGGCCAGGGTTTGGGAGTTTGACATGAAATGGGATACTCGTGGCGGATCTGGGCCCTTAGAAGGGATAGACTTTGGGAGGCGGGTGGGGAGAAAATCCAAGGAAGAAGCTCCTGAAGCCTGGGGGAGGGGCTGTTGGGCCAAGCATTGACAACGGGAGAGAAGCAGAGCAATCAGGGAGCTAAGATGGACTGTAAAAAAGTTTGGGGAATTTTAAAAAGATTTTGTTCGCTATAGCACAGTGGGTAAGGCGTTTGCCTTGCATGCAGCCAACATGGCCGACCCGAGTTCGATTCCTCCGCCCCTCTCGGAGAGCCCGGCAAGCTACCGAGAGGATCTCACCCACACGGAAGAGCCTGGCAAGCTCCCCGTGACGTATTCGATATGCCAGACACAGTAACAACAAAGTCTCACGATGGAGATGTTACTGGGCCCGCTCGAGCAAATCGATGAACAACGGGAGGACAGTGACCAGTGACCTTTTATTGGTGGGGGGGCGGGGGGATGTACCCAGTGGTGTTCAGGGCTTGCTTCTGGCTCTGTGTTCAGGATCACTACTGCCACTGCTGGGGGAACCATGTGGGGTACCAGGGGTTGACTCAGGGTTAGCCGTGTACAAGGCAAGTTTTACCTGCTGGGACTATCTCTCCAGCGCTGAGCTGGAATGGATTTAGAGGAGTTTGTAAAAAGTATTTGACTTTTGAGGTTTGTTTTTTTTTTCAGGGGGGAGTGTAAATTTCCAAAAGAAAAGAGGGTGCGGTGGGCCCACCCAGGGGATTTGAACATTTGGTGGCCGAGGAACCAGGCCCCAGGCTGGTCTGTAGCACCGTAGCACTGTCCTCCCATTGTTCATCAATTTGCTCGATGCGGGCACCAGTAACATCTCACAACAAATTGTGAGACTTGTTATTGTTTTTGACATATCGAATACATTACGGGTAGCTTGCCGGGCTTTGCTGTGCAGGCGAGATACTCTTGGTAGCTTGCTGGGCTGGTCGGTAAATCAGTTTATTTCTCTCTCTTCCCTGGTGTCATTAATCTCTCTCTTAGCAGTCAGCAGTAGTTTTGGTCGTAGTCCTAGTCATCGAAGTTCCATCATCCTAGTATCCAGTAGACCTCAAAGTCCTCTCATTCATTAGATCCTCTTCCTCATCTTGATGTAGTCTCATAGTCCTCTACTTCCAGTCATTGTCATTATCTGGTTCTACTTCTAGTCCCAAAGTCCCAGTTCTCCTTGTCTTCAAAGTCTCATTGTCGACCTTCTTGTCCTCAGTGTCTTGTCCTCAATGTCTAGTCCTCAGCGTCTAGTCCCTAACATCTTCAACATCTCATCCTCCTCGGCCAGTCTCGACTTTCTTGTCCCCAACATCTAGTCTTCAACATCTCCTTCCCAACATCTAATTTTCATCTCATCCTCCTACCCCTTACAGCATAGGTAAAGGTAAAGGCCCTCCCGTTGTTCGTCGATTTGCTCGAGCGGGCCCAGTAACGTCTCCATTGGAGACTTTGTTGTTACTGTGTTTGGCATAGTTTTATAGAAATCATGAAGCATAGTTTTATAGAAATCATGAAGGGTGGAGAAACAAAGGTAGGGTTGAACATTATCATAACCACAAAGAAAGGTAAGGGGACTCCTTCAGGAGATTAACTCAAGGACAAAATCTCATTTGAGGAGAATACTCCAGATTACTAGGAGATCCGCTGAAGGGTGGGATTCCATCCAGGGTGTATTGCTTATTTCCTCAGCTAGTAATCCATTTAAACAGTCATAGTAAATTTACTTCTTATAATATGTCTAGCAATGTCATTTTTATGAACACAGTCACTGTCACTGTCCTCCCGTTGTTCATCGATTTTGCTCGAGCGGACCCAGTAACATCTCCATCGTGAGACTTGTTACTGTGTTTGGCATATTGAATACGTCACGGGTAGCTTGCCAGGCTTTGCCGTGCAGGCGAGATACTCTCGGTATATTGCCGGGGTCTCCGAGAGGGGTGGAGGAATCGAACTCAGGCCGGCCACGTTGCGGGCATGCAAGACGAACACCCTACCTGCTGTGCTATCGCTCCAGCCCATGAACACAGTAAGAGATATATTAAAGCTTAAAGGTTGGCTCTCCCTGGGGACATCTTGCTATATATTCCAGACCATAGTCCTCAGTCTCTGAATGTAGCCTGCCCACACGGCAGAGTCTGGCAAACTCCCCGTGGCGTACCCAATACGCCAAATACCAGTAACAATAATGGGTCTCATTCTCCTAAAGAGCCTTGAATATAGCACTTTCTTAAAAATCACAGGGCTAGGATGAAGGAGAGTTACTGGGGCCTGCTCGAGGCAATCGACGAATAACAGGATGATCTGTGATCTGTGATAGTCCTCAGGCCAGGTTAGTCTTTCCTAACCCCAGCAGGATTCTTATTCAGTTACTTTTTTTGGGTCATGACAGAGTTTGTTCATGACCGTGCTCTTAATTTACATTTAAGTATTATGGTGCTTGACCTGTCCCATTTCGATACCAGGGTAGCTTACAGCTTGCTCTGGGTCCATCCAGTCCCTTGTTGGGACCCTTCTCTAGAGTGCTTGGAACTGTGGTTAACTGAGGCTTAAGTAAATCCGGATGCCCAGGAGTAAATATTTTGGAGTCAGTTAACTCCCATGTTACATAGCATAGCAACAATTGTCTCCCTGTTTCTATACAAAAAGGACATTGCTAAACGATATAAAGGGAAGAGAAAAGCAATATAGGATTATTAGCGCTTGATGGAATTGGGTGTGTCTCAGTTGCACTGTTGTGGGAGTGGCTCAAGAAACTTAAGCTCCCTGCGGGCGGAGCAAGGACAACCCAATGTTATCCAACTTGGGAGGCTGGTTATAGCTGGAGGTGCTCATGAGTGACCCCTGGTGGCGGTCAGGGTCCCACCACCACCACCGCATGCTGTGTGGGAACTCTGCTCCTTCCTCTCAGACCAGCTAACGAAGCTCTTGTTGCTGAAGGTGCAGATGGAAAGTAGAACCGGAACCTCACACGGGATACTGGGACTATCAGCTCAAAACCTCTTTTTAATCATGATAAACATGCAAGGCCACCGTGGAAGTGAGGGCAAAGAACAGAGAGGAGTTCAGGGCCCGAGGGCGCATGCGTAGAGACGGGAGCAGGGTTTCGGGTGGGAGGGGCTCAAGGAGTCATTCCTGGCCGTGGTCTGGGCTGCGACTTTTCAGCCACTGGGCCACTAGCGGCACTTCGGTTGCTGTGTCTCCGCCTTTCTCTGTGGCCCCACACAGCCCTAGTCTGCAGTGCACTGAGTGCAGTGTGTGAGGGGCGCTTCTGGGCCCAACGACGTGTTCCGAGGGTGCAGTCCCCGGGTGAGCAGCCTGTGGCCAGGTTCGGCTCTTCCTTCCCCGTCACCTGTGCCGATACCTGCCACTACCAGAGCCTCCCAGGCTGCCCTCCTCTGGGCGCCTTATGCCAGGGTCGGCCGCGTGCCGCTGGAGTCACTGCCCCTCCGGCTCGTGCGCCCGGGGCCGCCAAGTCTCCAGGTGCCTGGCCAGGTGCTCAAGGAGCACCCTCGTCCCGCCCAGGTCGGCGGTGGGGTCCCGGCCCGCACCCACCTCCCCCGCAGACCACGGAAGGGCAGGCGGCCACGACTCTCTCGGAGTCCTGGCTGGGGACAGGTACTCGAGTCACTCGGGCGCCGAGCAGGGAGGAGGCCGCCGCCAGGGCCGCAGCGCGCAGGTGCGGCGGGCGGGTCCCGCCCCGGGGGCGGGGCCGCAGGGCGCGCTCGCGCCTGCGCTGTCCGTGGGCGCGCGCCGGCCGGCCGGGCGGGGAGGGGCGCTGCGGCCATGCACGCTCGGGCCGCGGAAAGCGACCCGGGCGGCGCCGGCGAGTCGGCGGACGGGCCGTTTGCCGACGCTCTCATGCCGCAGCACGCGCGGCCCAGCGGAGACGCCGAGCCTGCTGCGGACGGCCCGAGAGATCACCGGCACACCTTGTATCCTGCCCCGGGGACCGTGAGGCTCGGGGACCCGAATGGCGGGCGGGTGGCTGGCTCCGGGGAAAGCGGGCGGGGACTGGCGGGGCCCGTGGGGGCAGCGGGGCGGGCGGGGGGGGCGCCGCCGTTGCCAAGGCGGCCTCGCGTCGCGAGGGGCGCGCCGGCCACCCCAGGGCGGGCGCTTGCCGCCTTAACGGAGTGCGCCCAGCGTCCTGCGGGTCCCGTTCCCGGCGCCGCTCGACGCCCAGATTGCCCTGGGCGCGCTGGCGCCCGACGGAGAGCCGCACCGCCTCGCGGTGGAGAAGGACCTTCACGTCGAGGGGAGCGTGCTGACGGTGTAAGTGCCCCGCGGGAGCCGGGGCAGCCGTGGGTGGATGGCGGGCTGGCTGCCTAGATGCGGACCGCGCAGGGGAGCCCTTCAAACTCGGCCCTGCCGTCTTCACCTTCAGCCGCTGGAGAGCAGGGAGCACGCGCGTCCTGAAGGTGTCCATTCTTACTTTTCTGGACCAGCTGTGCCTGGTCCTGCGGACTCTGCAGCGCTTTGGTCCAGCGGCCCCCCTCCCTGAAAGCGGGCATCGTTGAAACGACGATTTTCGGCAGAGACTCTCAGTGTGCAGCGCTGGACTTTCGTCTTCCAATGACTCGATTTGCTTCCTGGGCACTTGGCTCTATACATGGTGCTTGACTTTTAACAACTCTGGGAAATAAAACTGACTGGCCACTGGGTGTCTGAGGTTCTTTCCTACTTACTAGCACCTCCGAATCGTCTCGGCTTTGTCCTCAGGTGAAGGGGAGGCTCTGGGATGCGAATATGCAGGTAGGTAATAGAGGTCGCCACGTCGTTTCCAAAAGGAGAACAATACCAGTTGGTTCGACGTTTGAAAGTAATTTTTTTTTTTTGCTTTTTGGGCCACACCCGGCGATGCACAGGGGTTACTCCTGGCTCTGCACTCAGGAATTACACTCCTGGCGGTACTCAGGGGACCATATGGGATGCTGGGAATCGAACCCGAGTCGGCCACGTGCAAGGCAAATGGCCTCCCCGCTGTGCTATTGCTCCAGCCCCTGAAAGTAATTTCTCAGTGTTATTGTTGTACTTAGTTAATATACGATTTTAGCATTCAGTTTTTCATGCAACACTAATCTTCCTCTTGGTAAAATTTAAAATCAGGGCTGAAAAGATAGTACAGGTGTTGATAGTACCCTGCAGTCAGGTGTGGCCCAAACCTCCTCCCAAACCCTTTTTCTTTTAAAGCAATTTTTTGTTGGTTTTGGGACTGCACCCACTGGTGCTCAGAGGACATTTCTGGCTCTGCACTAATGATTTACACCTGGAAGTGCTCAGGGCACCATCCAGGGTGCCAGAGATCGAGCCTGGGTTGGCATGTGCAAGGCAAGCACCCTAACCACTGTACTACCACTCTGGCCTCTAAAGTAATTGGGGGGGGGCTGGAGCAATATAGCACAGCGGGTAGGGCGTTTGCCTTGACACGGCCGACCCGGGTTCGATTCCCAGCATCCCATATGGTCTCCTGAGCACCGCCAGGAGTAATTCCTAAGTGCAGAGCCAGGAGTAACCCCTGAGCATCGCTGGGTGTGACCCCAAAAGCCAAAAAAATAAAAATAAATTTGGGGGGTGCCAGAGAGAGTACAGAAGTAAAGGCACATGTCTTTTGTCTTTTGTACAGCTGTGACCATGAATATGGTTCAAACACCCTGAGCATAGAACCAGGAGTGTCCCCCTCAATTTCTTCAAAGCATGAATATGTTAAAATAACATTTAATGTGATTTCTTTGCGATTTTTGTTTACTATAGGCAAAATATTCAATGAAATCCACGACAAATGCTGCAAATTCCGAATTCAAACTATCTCAGTTAAAAATTGGTCGAGGCCAGAGTGATAGCACAGCTGTTCGGGTGTTTCCCTTGCATGTGGCTGACCTCGCTTTCCATCACCAGCATCCCCTATGGCGCCCCAGGCACAGCCAGGAATAATTCCTGAGCACAGAGCCAGGAGTAACCCCCTGAACATCACGGTATGACCTAAAGACAAAAAAAGGTAATACATCTGGAAATGAATGCTTTTTCTGTCTTTAGTCACACCTGTCAGTCCTCAGGGCTTGCTCCTGGCTCTCTGCTTGGGCAACTCCCGATGCTGCTCACGTGTGGTGTTGAGGATCGAACTGAGATTGGCCATATGCCATGTGCAAGGCGTGTGCCTTACACTCCAACCCCTGAAGCGTGTTTTTCAGCTCTTACTCTGTCCAGGAAGCAGTGGGGGCTGAGCCCCACCCAGTGTGGTGTGACTATTCTCCATCCCCACCCCAAGTCACTTGTATTTTGTTTAGTGAGGTCGGACGGCCCCACCGGAGACCCCTATCTCTAGTGGATGCCACTGGGGGGGCGCACCTCACATCCTGCCAGAACTCTGGGCTCAGGGTCCTTTGCATTCTGGGGCCTTATGTCCTGACCTTGCTCGCCTGCATGTATGCATGTATGGGCCAGTGTGGCCCTGCTGGGCGTCTCTGCCCCTCCCTCTCTGTGGTCCTCAGCCCCTGTGGTGTTTCCCCGTCCCCGGTGTTAGCAGGAGTGGGGGGATGCCTTCGGAAGCACTGGATGGTTCTGAGGAAAGCCTGAGAGTGGGAAGGCTGACCCCACCTAGGGAGCAAGTTCCTCTCACCTCCAGTGCAAGAAGCCACAGGGCTCCACCCTGGGCTCCTGATGTTTCTGGAAGGGGCAATACCCAGATCTGCCGGTAGGTGGCACAGGTGGTCTGGCCCTGGCCGGGAGTTGGGGGGCGGGGGCTGGGAATCCCACAGGTCGGCCTCCCGCCCGCCCCAAGAACCACGCCACACACAGCCCGGTCACTTTCCCCACATTTAATTAGGAAACCAACGGCACAAACAGACAAACTCATGCAACAGAAGAGGCGAGAAGTGGGTCCGTGGGAGGCGGAGGGACGGAGAGTAAGGCACTGCCGCCTCGGCCCCTGGGGCCACTCGGGGGTGAGGACGAGGCCCCGGGGCTGCAGAGCACAACGAGGGTTTGGCAGGAGGGCCGGAGGGGGCTGGTGCTCGAGCCCCCGGCTGGTGCTCCCTGGCTCAGAGACGGGGCCCTGGGTGGGGGGAGGCCAATGCCGGAGAAAGAGGGGGTGCTGTGGCCCGGTCGAGCCCCAGTGGCCCCGCCCGTCTGTGGGCTGGGGGGCATCTCCGAGGAGGAGGACGGTGCCCCAGGGAGAGGCGGGGGCGGGGAGGCAGCCGTGCTGGGGGTGGGGGAGCGTCAATAAATAGGCGGTGGGCGGGGCGGGAGGGGCTATTGCTGCCGTGGGGGCCCCGGCTGGGACCGCTCCCCTCCTCCCCGCGGGCCCCCAAGCAAGGCACTAACGAAGGGCCCCCCAGGGCTCAGCGCCCCCACCCTCCGTGCCACCCACCCCGGGGCCCCGGCGAGAGGCCGCCCCCTCACCGCGCCCTCAGCTGGTGCTGGACACGAGGCTGATGATGTGCTCCAGCTTCTGGCGCAGTTTATGCTTCCGGCAAGAGGGATCCCGGTCCAGGGCACTGAGAACCTGGGGTGCGCAGGGTGGGGGCACTGTCCCGGGGCTCCCTGCGCCCAGCCCCGTCCTCCGTGCCCTGCACGCCTGCGGCGTCCACTCCCTGAGCCCGGCCCTCCTCACCCCCACCTCTCCGCAGGCCTCCGGGATCTGGCCCCCATGAGCTGGGACTATTCCCAGCAGCACCCCACGTTTGACCACGCCCTGCTCCCTAAAGGGCCCCCCTTCTCTGCCAACCCCAGGCTCCCACTTTGGGTCTAACCCAGACACCTGCATCTGCAGTCAGTAAGGTCACTGACACTGCCCACAGCTGCCAAACCGCTCATTCCCATCTCTGCTTCCCAGCCCACCTGGGTCGTGTCCTGGGATCCCCGCTGCCTGAGGCCTGCCGGCAAGTTCCCAAAACACAGGCTCCATGTCCCCTCTGCCCCCTCCAGGGACACACGAGCTGAGCCCAGCTCACTCCCCACCCTTGCCACTGGCAGACCCGTGGCCAAGACGCACCTCCTGGCGGTACTTGGTGACATAGAAGTAGAGCTCACTGAGCGCGCTCAGAACGTTGAAGTCACTGGCGTGCAGGCGGGACTGCTCCACCAGGTAGGCGTCCATGTCCTGGTCGCTGATGGAGGCCATCTTGGCGATGTCTCGGTAGTACCTGCAGCACCCTGAGTAGGTCACACACAGGCCAGCAAAGCCTCAGGGCGGCCATGTCCCAGCCTGGGTGGGGCGTGCACCCACCTCTCCACCCAGCTCTTGTAGCTGGGGATGTCCTTGGCGTAGAGCAGCTTGTTGGAGGGCGAGTCCTTGCCCAGCCGGTGCTCGGACGTGGAGCAGGAGTCCATGAAGGTCTGTGCCACCACCGACAGGCAGGCGTCCGTGATGCTGCTTTTGTGGATGTCGAACACGAACTGCGGGTTCTTGATCACGTTCACCCAGAAGCGCAGAGGCAGGCTAGGCGGAGGGACACGCCCGACACCCAGTGAGCAGCTGCCCCCTTCCCCTCTGTACTTCTGCCCAGAGGTGGCCAGACTGACAGGTGGCAGGTGGTCATTAGCTTGGAAGTGCCGCTCTGGTCCAGGCTGTGGCTCGAACGAGCAGCCCCCAGCTCTGAGCCTGGCCCCACGCACGAAACTAAAGGGCGTGCCTCCAGGAGGCTTTCCGCAGTGATGCGTGAGCAGACAGCCCGCGCGCCCCGCCCCCAACGCAGCCAGGCAGCCGAGCCCCGCACCCACAACATCAGCACTGCGGCGTGGTCAATGGCAGCCTCAGGCCAGGTTATTGCCTCGGACACCCCAAACTCTTGCCCCTATGTGTCCCCAGAGGAGGGTACCAGTTGCTCTTCCAGGTATGGCGCACATCGGGGTCGCTGATCTGCCGCTGGTCGGCCTGCTCGTCCAGGAAGTCAAACATGTACTTGATGGCCAGCGGCAGGGCTGAGCCCCGGTGTGCTGTGCTGAACACGGTCTCGAAGAGGTCGTCCACGAACTTCTGCAGCGTGCCCTGCCAGAGAGCAGCGAAGGAGAGTGGGAGGGACGGCCCTGGTAGTGGGCTGAGGCTACGGCAGTGTGGGGCACACCCTCACCTTGGTGGCCAACAGGCGTGTCAGATAGATCTCGGAGACCATCTTGCTGCCCCGGTCCCCCTCTCGGTGGTCCGCGTGCTCATGATTCTTCACCAGGTGCCACAGTTTGGTTCCCGTCTCTTGATCGGGCGTGATCATGGGCGCACGCGAGCGGAGGCTGTCAGGGCTGCTGGCCGTGCGCAGCAAACTCTCTGGGGCGGAGGGCAGTGGTGCCCATTAGGCAGGGTGCCCCCCGATGCCCGCTGCCCCACCTGGCCAGGGCTCGGGGCGCTGTGGCCCAGACACCTACCGTAGCGGCTGAGCGAGCGGGTAAAGGTGAACGAGCTGGCCATGTTGTAGGCAGACACTTGTTTGGGCACCAGTGCCACCAAAGAACCGTCGGTCACCTGGATACCCAACAGCACAGAGGGCAGCACAGGGGGCCGAGCCGGCCAGCTGCCAAGCAGGCTCTGGGTGGAGGGCCCCCGTCGCTTACCTGGTAGTGGGCCAACGAGTTGACCCTCTTCCAGTCACAGTCGACCTTGGTGGTGACATCATCGTCCTGTAGCATGATGCGGGCCATGCGTCCCTGCCGCCACTCTGCGGGTCACACA